TTAACTACTATTGTTGCCAGGCCCATCCTGACTCGTGATGGTAGCACCTGTTAGGGTCCCAGTGAACCCCCAAAAAAACATTATGAAAGTATAAAAAATAGATTGTTATAGTAAAAATACCATCAATATATTTCCATATAAATAACTAGCAGTAGAGCCCGGCGTTGCCCGTGGATGTAACAGTAAGAGATAGATCAAGTATCGACCATCATAAAGACTGAAAAATAAAATTGACAAAGATTATTGTTTAAGGTTGACGGACACACATGTCTTAATTAGTTTTTTGTTTTGTTTTATTTTGTTTTTTGGGTTTTTTTTTTTGTTTTTTACGAATTGGTCAAAACCGAACTCAAACAAAAACATTGTTTTCAATCGTTATGAGTCTACCAATTGAATAGAATTTTATTATAAACAATTGTCTTGTAAATGGAATTTTTAAAGCATCCTGAGTGTAAAAATAAAGAAAAAAAAATTTGCAAGACAATAAGAAACACTACCTGCCAAAAAAAAAGTGAAGTTTTGTTGAAATCGGTTGAAAAATGTAAGAAATCCGATCCCATATATAAACGCGCACACACACACACACACACACACACAAACTGGATTTTATAATAATAATAATAAGTATAACTCGATATTTGTCCCCCTTTCATTCATTTCAGCGATGCCTCTTAATTGTGTTTTCAAATTGATTTCGTACAAAAACAATTGTGTTTTTCCAATTTTTGGAGCTGTCAGAACCACCGCAAGGTAATTTTACGTAGTCTTGTGAAGTTTTGTTGAAATCGGTTGAAAAATGTAGGAAATCCGATCTATATATCTATATATAAACGAATAGACACACACAACCTGGGTTTTATAATAAGTATGATGATCAATAGTACTGTTTTAAAGCAAAATGGCCAGCAATACATTTTATCTATAGCTGAAGGCATACATTTTTCTTCAAAATATATTTAGTGCAATCCATAGAAATTTGTTCAAATTTAGATTTCGGCATTAAATAATCTATAGAGTTTGATATGCCGCTAAACAAAATCAACTAACCAAGCAAACAAGCATCATGAAAGAGCTCATTCATGACATTAATCCATATAACATCATACAATTTCTTTTAAAAATCTGTATTCCAAAACTTCAACAAAATTACAACATAAAACACATATATCAGAAAATTAGTAATTATGTCTACACAAACATGTCTATATACAAAAGCTGAGTATCATCTACCATGTATTCAGTTGTAAATCAGAATAACATATATCATTTTTATTATTTCAAAGCTCCCACTGAAATTAAATGACCCATGAAGTGTTGATATACCGTTAAACAAATCAAACTAATCAAATTAAACAAGAAGCCAGGAATCCCACTGTTTGTATTATCATTTCAGCTTCGATCTCACATAGTTTATTCTTCACGTTGGTCAGGCTTTCTTTTGCGTTTCTTTCTGTATTTCCACAACCCATTCCAGAATTGTTTGCCCCTGTAACATCAGGTCGTTTCGATTTCCCCAATATTTCTCTATGTAAAATATACCGGTAAAATCTGCTTTCTCTGTTTTGGAATATTTTATTTTTGTCAATATTGAGGGATGTTCAGGTAGTGTAATTGTTAGCGGCTCGGAACGAAAACTCATCAAGCCGAGTTCGAATTCCAGTCGGGTTCATTACACTCACAAATAGCCTTGTGAATGTTGTGAATCTTCACTGGGTTAAAGATTAGAAAAAAAAAGGACTTTCTAGGCATAGTTAGCAGCCACCATTGTTTAAAATGGGATGCAGATGGTAGGTTAAAACAAAAAGCACAATATATTTCAACAGATTTGGATGATCGCACTAAAGAGCGATTATGCAGATTTCGGTTAACATCAACGCTGCATAGGGGACATACGAGAAAGATGGATGAATCTTGTGGGACTTTGTGTCTTCATTCTTTTGCTAACAACTTTTGAGTCATTTATTCTTTCCTTAAAATGGCTTCTGTTTTTTACAGTATCTTATATTTATCAGTTTCCTTTGAGTAGTGATATATTTTGAATTTCTCTCTTTTTTTCTTTTATTTTTTGTTTTTGTTGTTTGTTTTTTGTTTTGTTTTTTCTTCAACTTTTCCTCTCATCCAATTTTTGCATATTTGTTCGTTTGTGAGTAGTTATTCCGAACATCGACTTTATCGGTAGCCATCTTTGTTCCTGTATATATTAAGTGGTTCAGTTCAGTGTCGTTGTCAGTCTAAATATATTGCAAATAGTTTATTTGCTTTTTCATTATCTACCTTCCTTTTATTCCTTCGAGATGTTAGTGTTTGTTTTCTTATTTTGCTGTGTTCGTTCCTTTCATCTTGGGTTAAGTATTCAAGTGACGTGGTGTGTGGGAAGAGACAGTGTGATGTCATCAGTTTCCCAGTTTTCTCTTTCTTCCTGTCCATTCTTGATCTTACTGATATCTTTCTTTCTTGTCTTTCAAGGGTTGGGATCCCTTTCAGAAGACTTTTTTTTCCCACGCGTCATGACGAGGATAGATTGACAAATAAAACTAAGAATGGACGGTTCCTCATTGAGACAAGGTAAGGAATTTGCATAACTTCTTCTATGGAACCTTCTACCATTTTTAAAATTGTCCCTAGATTTTGTCTCTCTTCTACGCATTCTCTTTGTTTCAGGACGTAGAAAATAATGGCTCGCCACAATCTTTTGAAGCTCGTAGCAATATTTTTGTCTCCCCCTCTCTCCCTTTCAGTCCCTATTATCCCATCCATTTACACAAGTTTGTTTTCCTCGTTCCCTCTGGGCTTCAGTACGTCCTGTGCGTGTTGAATTCTCCAAGCACATTTCCTCATTATGCATCATAATTTCAGCTCTTTCTGATCGTAAGTATTAGTATCTTTTTTGTTCACATTTTCCTTAATACTTCCTCAATGTTATCTTACTTAAACCTTGCTCCTCCATCCACTTTCTCTAGCTCTTTAAGTAGGTCATCGCTGTTTTCTTCTCCATCAATCTTTCCCATGAGTATCAAAATTTCCTAGTCCTGTTTCCTCATTATGTGCACTAGAAAAACTGGATCCTTTCAAAAAAATGCCAAATTTCTAAAAGTTGATATCATGTCCTCTGTCAACAAAAAATGAGTTTGAAGCATAGATAGATAGATAGATAGATAGATAGATAGAAAGAAAGAAAGAAAGAAAGAAAGAAAGAAAGAAATAGCTTACATAGATAGAAACAGCCTGACATAGATAGATAGATAGATAGATAGATAGATAGATAGATAGATAGATAGATAGATAGATAGATATGTGTGATCAGAATAAGATACAGATAATTCGGTTAACAAATGAAAGTTTGGTTGTTTAACAATATTTTGATGTTTATTCACATCTCCTTCAGTTAAAAATCACGAAATCCCCCCAAAAAAAAACATCAAATTATTCTTTCCTCATTATGAACCGTAGAAATCTTAACTCTCTCTTCCTGGTGTTAAGTGTAAGTGTTCTTTTTGTTTCCATTTTCTCTAAAACTTTGACGTTACTCACATTCTCCTCCATCGCTGTTATTCTCAGGATCCTTCTGTCGTATCATATACCAGTTGCATGAAGTCTCCTCTTAATCTGTCAGAAAAATGATATAGATATTATATAAGCGACCAGCGTAATTTTCTTTTCTTTTTTTTCTAACGGAAACTTCCCATTTCTTAATATGTTGCTTAGTTTTTGGAAGGCATCTTTCGCTACTCTTTTTTTATCTTCTGACATTTATTTACTTTCTTTATTTTGACTTTTGGGGGTTACATCAAGTTGCATACATTTGGTTTTGTTGAGGGGGGGGTAAAGACACAAAGAACAACAACAACAACTGAAAATGTGACGTTTTGATGACAGGAAAAATATTTTTTGATTGGGTCTGTGATTGTGACTAGATAAGTCAAGCATGTCCAAAATCCGGCCCGGGGGCTAATTACGTCCTATGGCCAAATTTTATATGGCCCCCATCCTCTGTCATAGAATGTATTACTTACAGCCTACAAGTTTGTGGTTGCCCTCTGGCGGTATGAACCCGAGCTTGGCCTTTTCCAGCCAATTTCTAAAATCACTGCTTTTGAATCAGACTTGGACTACATACTGCAGTACAGATCTCAGTGTCACCCTTCACATTAGTGAAGACAAATTATTTGTTTTGGTCATCTGAGATGAATAAATTCTAAAATCAGTTAGAAATCTATTTGGACACTTGGACTTGTGTCACTTGATGTTTTCAACTTCTTAATAAGATGAATGTTGATGTTATGTTCCTATTCATATGTTTTTAACTTAAAAGTTGACAGACAATATTAATTACTAATAATAGGTAATATTTAAGATTAACCTGAGATATATCTTCCTAGAAGTTCTTTTTTCACAGACTTATTTTACTCCATTTTATATAAGCTTCAGAGATGACAGACTGAGTGATTTTTGAATTTATCTGTCATCTTTGTGAAGAAATGAAAATATGCCATTTGCAATAAAATTAGTTCATTTGCATTTAATTTTAATGGTTCAAAGAATGCCAAGCACAATGGTTAGCTCTCACGTATATTCACTTCATCAATTCTGGCTATCTTTGAAAAATGTTTGGGCACCCCTGAGAGAGGTTGAAAGTAAGACAATAAAGATTATCTCTCCCGATTCCCATTATTGACCTTGTGCAATATTTTCGTATTCTATACGCAAATAAATATTCAAGAATTCCTGCGAAATGAATTTGGTCGCATAGTAATTGTTTTAATAATTCATTTGTTTTTTATGGCTTATAAAACCTTTGCAGGTCATTTAAAGCCAGAAAATATTTTTAGATTGTCAGAATTTTTTATGATTTTTACTGATACTAATTAACCCATAGCTAGGGGAGTAGATTCGTATCTTTCCAAAGAGTATTTGCGCATAAGTGAATGCAACGAAACCAACTAGAAATGAAACTGCCGAGCCGTTATAAATTAAACCAGCCACACATCCAAGCTTAGAGAACCTAGTGTTCCCAAGCAGTCACCCATCTAGGTACTGACCTATTTGATGTTGCTTAACTTCGGTGATCGTACGAGAACCAGTGCCACGACATGATTTGGCCGTAAACCGAATAGTAATAGTGAGTTCAATATCTAGACCATTTAGTACAGATTTAGACTCAATAAAACCGAAGAAAACGAGAACAATCTAACCCCGTAGATGAAATAAAGTGTTCAGTTCGAAATTCCTTAGAGATTATCCAAATCGGAAGACACTTCTGTAGCGGAATATGCGTGGATAGAACGAAGAAATAAGCGAATCTCCAACACGACTCTACAAATTAAAAAAAAAATTTTATTGTTTGAGTATTATTTTTCTTTCGAATTGAAAGAAATGATTTGCAAAGATTCTTTGCGAAATAACTTCACACAAAATATTTTGTGTATCTTTTCTACAGTACAACCGATTCAGTCAAACCGAAAGAAACAGAATGTGTCGACATGTCAGAATGTGTGTATGTCATCTTATGTATGCGTATAAATTGTAGTAATTTGTAGCATAAATAAGTAGTGAGCTGTCCTTATTGTTGTCGCTCGTAAACAAACTTAGTCCGCATGTTTTTCTTTAAGTGCCAATATCGCTAAGTCTATTTTGTAATATAATATACTCGAATAAATATGAGAAGATTTGAGTAATTAATTTAGTGTGAGAATTTCAGTTTTATATAACAAACGAACGATCACCCTGATGAACGTTTAATTGAAAAAATAACTAGCGAAACAAAAATTGATGACTTTTATAATGAAACATCGACCCCAGAAAAAAAATTAGATTTATTAATCTCATGCTTATTGGTTAATAAATATTTTCCCAATTTTTAAATATCTATTTTAAGGAGGGAAAATGTTGTTGGTCATATTCTGAAGTGATCCTCCGAAATTTCATATCAAACAGCAAATCTTAATTGCCTGCAAATTCAAAGAATATCGCACGTCTCATATGAGGTTGCTGATTGGTTAATATATAAGAATATAAAAAGTCAAATTTTTTTAACCAGAAAAATGAGTTAATTTCTGAGTTTACGTAATCTATTGCATTTTTCTACAATTCTGAAACGGGGTTTCACACCGGAAGTAGGCCGGGAGCGGGGATCACGGCCGATTCATTTTGATAATAGCAACAAAGATGAATCCAAATAAATAAATAATTGTAACTTCTCATCCAGAAAGACGTTGAGATATATATTTATTGATTTCTACAAGAGTCCCTTGGTCAGAATTAAAACGGCATCAGGTTAAGCATGAGTCACAAATTGATTGCAGTGAGTGATTAGTCATCAAATATGCCTGAATATCAGTTACATGGTAATGAAGAGAGTCATGAAGCCTTGTCCTAAATAAAAAAAAAAAAAGTTTGTGCATGGAAAATCAGCCAGAGTAATTTATAACCGATCTGTACAATCAAACACGCGCCATCTCTAAATTATTAAGTCAAACTATAGTATCCCGAAAAATATTAAGCAAATATAAATATATTGTACTAAATTGACTTATAATTTTGAAACCAATTCTTCTTCAATGTGCTGTTTCCCTTAATGACGTTGGTGATTATGGCTCATCGCAATTTCCTGTCCCTTGCAGATCTTAATAAAATTTTATCTTTTTGTTATCGCTCTTAAACCTTTCTCAGACATCTATTTACTCAAGCCCGCTAGATAGGTTGTACGTTGATCTCTTCTGTCCCTCTTGCCTTCAATCTGTCCTGTAAGTATCAAATTTGCCAAGCTCACTTTCTTATACGCCCTAAAAATTCCAACGGTCTCCTCCTGATGTTAAATATAAGTGACTTATCAGTTTATTCTAAATTTTGTCGTTGCTCACATGTTTCATCCATGGTATTCTCATCATCCCTTTGTAGAACTACATTTCTGTTGTCTGAAGTCTCTTCTTCATCGGTGAGGAGATTGTCCAGCATTCACTGCCGTATAAGAAAACTGGTATTACGTAACATTTCAGTACTCTTTTCTTTGTTTCTAACGAAATTTTTCTTTGCTTAGCTTCTGCAAGACATCTTTCGCTACCCCAATGTGCCTTCGGATTTCAGTGTCGCACTTCCCGTCCTCTGTTAAAACACATCCTAGATATTTTTTGCACTTGCTTGATTTTAGTGTCTCCAATGTGTAATTTGCATGTTGGGTTGTTCTATTGGCTAACAATCATGCATACCATCTTTTTGTAATTGACGTTTAGTCCTTTCTTCTCGCTTTCCTTCACTGCCTTCTATATAAGTTCTCGTAGTTTCCTTTCTGTGTTTGTTATTAACACTGAGCCATATGCATATCTTATGTTATTAAGATTGTGACCGCCAAAAATGAACCCTGGTTGAACTTCTAATTCTCTAAGAATGGCCTCACTGTGTAGGTTGAATAAGTCCGATGAGAAAACACAACCTTGTCTTACAACCCTTTCTATTTTTGTATATTCACTGAATTCATTTTCTATCCGTATGCAGACAGTTTGCTGCCAGTACAAATTCTGGATTATTCTAATATCCTTCCCAAGTATATCAAGGTTGCCTAGCAACTACAACATTTGTTTGTGACGTACTTTATCAAATTCTTTTGTATAATCTATAAAACACAGGTACACATCCTTCTGCATTTGTATTGCTCTTTCTAATAGATATGTTTAATATATATTTTGTAAAATGAAAGATTAACTCTTTAAAAAAAAAGCAGGAATAGTTGAAAACTGTTCTTACATTGAATAGGAACAGTTGTCTGAGTGTAAGAGTAAATCGAGATATATTCACTTATCACTATATCGAGGAAAATAACTTTATTGCATGTCGAAACAGAAGAGAAAATAAATGGACACCGAGGAGTGGATTTCAAGATTTTTTAAATCAGACGCAGAATAATTAGATTCCTTGGGGTTGGGTCGTAATTTAAATTTAATGGGCAATTTTGAGTTTTTTTTTAACAAATTGCATTAAATTCTTAATGCAAGTTTGAACGTGCACATACTTAAAAGTACATATGTATTACATAACTAATGTCTGTTTTTGTTTATCAACTTTATTCTTCAAAAGAAAGATAGTGCAACTGAATTACTTGCAATGATCTGTTGCCACTTATCTGGCGAAACAACCACAAAAAACGCCAACATCACACGTCGTAAAAAAAGTATGAGTAGCAATAGAGAAGTAGAAAGGTCTCTAATTGGAGACAAGTGGTATTATATGATTAGATGAAACAGTTAATTAGCACTGGGAACAGTTCAGAGAAGCGGAAATAAGTTGATGATAAATTAAGGAGCTTGAAACTGGACGCGTTGAGATTTAGTTAAAAATACAAGGACATTGATAAGTTTTGTCGGCAGGTTTTATGTAAAAGTCGGTAGATTATGATGTGAAAAAGTTATTGAAAAACTCTTGAATCTGGTTTTTATTAAAGAAATATTTCCCCATCAAAGTGTTTTGCTGCGTTGAATAAACGAAGAGAATAGTTTTTTGGTGAAAAGTCAGGTGAATATGGCTGTTCAAGTAGAACAAACCGACGGAGTTTAAAACATTTTCCTGTGTGTTTCTTGCTGTAGGTGACATTGCGTTTTTATGGACGAGAACATTTTTTCCTATTGGTGAGTACAAAGAACTTTCGACTAAACCTTTATGGACACGTTGCAGCTGACGGGCCTATAATTGTGCATTTAGTGTTTCATTGCGCTTTAAGGACTCTAAATGGATAATAACCAGGCCGTCACGCATAAAATGACATTTCTTCCGTGGAGCTCAAAATTTGAGGTTAGTTGTGGAGATTTAAACTTGTCAATCTATTGCCTTTCGCTGAACATCCACACATGTAAGCAATTTTCATGATGTGTTATGATATATTTAAGAAACAGAATGGTACATTCATAATCACGATTAGTTCTCCAGAACGGCAATTACTTATATGACTCAACCTATATATATATATATATATATATATATATATATGAATAATGTTTTTGTAGAAAAATGTTGACGCAATGTAGTTTTTTAAACTTGTGTTTAATAGTTGGTGGTATTGCTATAAATATATTTTCATATTATTTTCACTTTAAAGGGTTATATTCTTTTTTAATAAGGCTGACATTGGTTAAATTAAAGTTATGTCCTATGTCGTTGTTGTGTAAGACGAGATAATTTGAATGTTTTTCTAAACGCAAATCTCTTTTGTGTTCATAGATGTGGGTATTCAGAAAGCATGAAATCTCTCCCAATGTACATATTATTGCACTGTAGACATTTGACTTGATAAAGTCCGGCATTTAAATTGGTGTTTGTTTTATTTTTCATATTGATTATAGCTTAGCCGATGACGTGTTTTGTCCTCTGAGGGACTTAAGGCAAATATAAGGATTTTATTTTGTAACAACTATTTATTTATATACAAAGCAAAAATGATATTGATTTAAAAAAAAAAAATTAAATTTAAGAGCGCTCATAATTATTCATCAGGTTAGCCGAAAAGACTAGGCAAGCTATAGAGGATACTAAGTGACACAATTCAATGTCTAATCAACAAAAGTGAGTAAATGATGGCCTTTTTCTCAAATTAGAATTTAAACTATTTTAGTTTGGGATTAATTTATGTGTTATCTATTTTAAATAACAGGAGGTTATGAATTTAACCGTTTACTTTTAGTTTTTTAAACATTTTCATAGTCATGTGTTTGGAAAAGTAGTAATTCTTTCTGGAATCAAGATATTACATTTGCCTTGTACCTCAGGGGACGAAACGCGTCGTCGGCTAAAATAAGTTTTAATTTTGTCTCTATTCATGTATATAAATATATATATATATATATATATATATATATATATATATATATATATAATGAGGAAGTGATGACTCTGAGCATAATGTGGATAAATAGCGATTCGTCCTTGATATGAAGATATTAATTTTGTAGTGTTCAGGGAAGCAGCCACGAGAGACCCTGTTCCACAAAGTAGCAGTTCTTAGGAAAAAGCTATTTGAGTGGAACTTGCTCCTTATATTTGAAATACGAAGGAAATAAAGATGATTTGATTCCGTGGATATAGCATGACGTGCACTAGCTGTAAAGGTCGGAATTAGATT